CTCATCTCATCCGCTGCACAAGCATGCAAACCCTTTGAGTCGCACAGTCTCCTGCAACACAGGAAGTGAACGTCCGGAGGACAAAACAGTGAAAGGAGAGACCTCCTTCAGTGTATTTACGGGGTCATTTCTTGCTCAGTGATGAATGTGAGCAACTCTCAACAATGTTAATAGGAATTGTTCAACCCTCCTTTGCAGTACTGTCACACCAACACAAGGCCAGGGCTGCCTCTAACCCATTTGATATTTCAGAGACATCTCTCATGCCAAAACACCCCTGATTCCCTAGAAGCCCTCTTGTTCATTCATCAATATCTAGAGTTACCAAGAAGCCAAACACATCACAGCTGCAGGGGGAAATAAAGAAACAAATAAAGCAAAATAGGAGGATAAAATACACATTCTTTGAAAGAAACCACTATCACAGAAATGGTCACAAAAGAACAACAGAACAGCACTGCTGTATGAGATCTCCCTACTGAACGGCCATACTGCCAATTTCTGAGCCCAGAGCCCTCAGTGTAAATAAAAAACCTAATGAAAATCAATGGCTTTTGACCAGTCTCCCAACAAGAAAGGCCTACGAAACTCTTCCAAAGTCATGTCAGATAACTTTAAATACTAAAATATATGCTAGATTTGGGGAATCTTTTTTCATCCTAGAATTATATATTTTTTGGTTACTTTTATTAGGTTTTGGTGACATTTAATAAACCAGAATGCCCAAGAACCAAGCATCTCTTTCCTGTTCAATCAGACCTCAGATTAAATGGTCTACAAACAAAGTAAGTTAAAATTACAAGGAACATTTTTAGACATCAAGGAAATGTCCTAAAAGAAAACCTAACAAAGAGCAAGACACACAAATGACATATAAAAGACATACAAATCAAAACATCATTACTGGAAATCATCAAAACCGGGGCTGACAACTCTCTGGCAAGGGCACAACAACAGAAAATGCTGTAGGAAAAGCAAATGGCTTAGAGGAAACCAGAAGCGTTTTCCAACTGGAACCACCAGTGAATGAACCCATTCAGCGCCTACATCTCGCTCTCCGGTCTGCACACATCTGTAGAGGGCCACACAAGAAATATTGTTCAAAGGGGCCAGTGCTCCCAATATTAACTACATAATACATATACTCCATTATATTATTTGAAAAACACCATTAGGCTTTGGAAGTGGATTTATATTTCACAGGCATTAAATCATAAACTCATAAAAACATCTCCTCCTTTTTCATTAACACATCCATACTCTGCCATTTTGGCTAAGCACAGTATCAAAAGCTAAGAGCTTTAACAAAGCTACCAGTGTGTGAGACTGAGGCAGAGGTGATGCTCTGTTGGTCAAATACTTTCAAGGCACAGTCAAAATTCTCAAGAGTTAAAGCCAATGATAGTTAAAATTTTGAATTTTGCAAGCAGCCAAAAAGGAACAGAAAGCAAAACAGTTCACTTCCCCAGCAGTTCAGCAGCAGCAAAGTAACTCCTCAGCCAGCACTTCTGAATCTGGACACATCTCTGGGGAACAGCATGAAAGTTGAATTACAATACTTGAGTACTTCCGGAGAAAATGTAGTGCTATTCATCCTTCATACTAACACTAACATGTCCCACATCAGCTGTAAACTGCTCTTTCTGCATACAGCAAATTTACATGCTTTGGGGTTTTTTTTCCAGAAGTGCTACAGGAAACATTTAAGTACACAATCCTATCCATGACCAAGTAGTGTTTGAAAACTTCTGCCCGAAAGTAAAAATGGAGTCTGGATCCTTTGATCTCTTAGTATACACCTGCACAGGGATGATCTAATGATTTGACTCTCTTTGCCTAAACATCCCTGGTAGTCTTAATTGAAAAATCTAGAAGATAGACACTTCTGTAACTGAAAATACAACTGACACCACTTTGTCCCCTTACTGGGCCATTTCATCAGAGGCCAATGAACAGCCATGAGAGAAGAAACATCACCTTAGAAAGAAGCATCTCCTAGACATTTACCTGTCCAAGTCATATCTGAGGTACAATGGCAGAGTAATGGGCTTAAAAGAATGGGAATCAGGAGGGATTTACATGATCATGCCTAAGAGACTTGCATCCTTTTGGATCGAGAATTTCAGTCTCCATGCTCATCTGTCAAGCAGAAGACACAGCACTTCCATTTGCATAAACCCTTTATTGATTTATTTATTGCCATCTTCGTAGCTTTAAGCACAAGATCAAATTCTACAGTAAAAAACAGGCAGATGTGACAACTTGTAATCCTAGGGAGATACGACACTTGTGATCTTACGTGAAAACTGCTCAGATACATCTCATTTGTGATTAACAAAACCAGCCTCTGGAAGTAAAGATAGAGTGTAAGAGGAAATCCAATCCAGTCTAATCATCAGAGGAAATTTCATATGCTAACAGTCTCAACTAACCTATCTTTCAGAAGATTCTAATCTCAAAAATATGGTTATATATCGCCGCCTACCTCCAAAACTCCGCCACTATGTCTGTATGCGCAAGCGCTGTGATGGCTTTTTCAAGATCTACTGTACACCCACTATTAGAACCTGGATCTATATGTTACCGCTTCCATTCACCTCTATGTAACACTGTGCTTGGCCTCAGAATTTAATGCCTTTGGTGGAAGTGTTTTTCTAAACTCGAAATAGCACAACTACACCACCCGATAATCAGAATTTGTTGTAAATTATTCATTATGATCAATAAATCAAGCTTTGCATATAATTGTAAAACCGTTAACTGTGTAAGAAGACAGCCGAAAAACAGAATAGTTAATTTTCACAAGCCTTATTGAAAGATTACTTGCTAGCAACTTCAAGGCTTTATAATTCCTTTTGATTGTCTAACGCAATGCATAAAATCAAAGGGTAGTGCCAAACAGAGCTCTACATTAAATCCACAAAGTTGGGGTTGAGCACAGAAGGCAGGAAAGAAATTAAGTCTCAGAGCAAAGGGAATGGAAACTACCCCATCTTGGTAAAATTGTCATTAAAAATGTTAAAGAAGAAAAGAACAAGCCTACTTCAGTGTTGCACAGAAAATGTGCCAATTCAGAGGCAGCAAGGCAGTGCCACCACCAGAGAGATCAAAACCTGCTGAGTGCCGCATCTGTCTTACTGGATAGCATGATATAACCAAAAGGAGAATCTAATTCACATTCAGTAAAAGCAAAAACTGATATACCTTGTTGACAGACATTGAAAAACCCCGCAAGTCAAAACCTCCTGAAGATCTAAACAATAACTAGCAGCCACAGAACATTTCACAACCTCATATGAGACAAGTACAAAGGTTCCCAACAATTGTTCCCATTTATTCCTTCCTTCTAAGATACATACAGATTTTATAGATAAGACATGCAAATGAACTACAGTCTGTGTCTGTTTACAATCATTTCATCCTCAGCTCTGTATCTTAAACAGCTCCCTCTCCTTTTGGCCCATGGCACCTGGTTCATGAGGACTGACTGCCATGGTTCAGCTTCTAGCAGCTCAGCAGCTCTTGAATTAGCTGTAGAAATGGTGGTACTTTAATACCAGAGCTTAGCATAGCAACCAGCCAGCCTAAATAAATAAATAACGAAGCCTGGTGTTCTAGCAGATAATATAAATACACTTTCAGCAAATTGCTTGGGTCCAAAGGTCAGTCAACTTGTTTGCTCTGTCTCCAAGAATTTGTAAATCTCAACATGATGTTTAAACACAAGCATATACAAACATCAAAGTTCAATGCTGACACATTTTACACCTCCAAGTTGTATGCCAGAATAGCTCTATACCACACATAGAAAGCTGTAATGTATGTGTAAGGAAGTGACAAAACACTATCCAAAACTAAATGCAATTTTTTCTTTAAATATCTTCCCATTCTGTATTTTCCTTCTTTATTTGCTCTTATTCATCCTTTCTCACATTAAGTATTTCTGCAGCTGTCTAATTTCACGATTCCTCCCTTTCACTACCCATAAACTTTAAATGTCAAGCCCCGTTTCAGGGTGTGTGTATTTTTTGTGTTCCTGATTGATTCATGCACATGGAGACACCTGAAGTTTCAAGGTGAACCACCAGTTCCTGAGCTACAGCATGGACACACCGGCTACCCTGGCATTTCCAGGCTGTTGTGCAGCCAGAGCAGCCAGGCCAGCCAGCCCAGCCACTCAGTCTCCCTCCCTTTCCCTTTTTACTAAAGGAAACGTGCAAACAGTCTCGCAGCTCCTACTCATGTTGTGCTTTTCTTCCTTGCCAGGTTCTCATTCATCTTACCTTTGAACAGCTCTGGGCGGGCAAAGAGCAAAATGCAACGGGCTTCAGCGAGCACAAGAAATACATTTTGCAAATGGAAAACCACAGGAGTGACACTGATCTCCCCACTTTCCTGACAGAATGCACTGTGAGGACCGAGAGCCAGAGCCCCTCCACACGCCCCATTTGTCCCTCTCCTGTGGGGTGACCGATGTAGCAGCGGCAGCCTGGCCGTGCCTGGGTGCTGCTGCAGATGTGCTCGGCCTGAGGGGCTGGAGCCGGCAGTCAGCTCCCCTCTCCGCTCCTACACAGCCCCAGCGGCCCGGGAGCAGCAGCCCGGAGGCCAGCGGTGCAGGCAAGTGCTGGTTTCACGCGTGGGAATGGCACAGGAAACCTCTGCCAGAGTGACAACCGCTCCTCAGGCGGAGGGGAGGACTCAGAGGGGGCCCCTTCCTCACCTTCACGTTTTCTCAGATGAGATGGGGAGCGACAGGATGCAGGGGAGGAGCGGGCAACTTCTGAAATGTAAGCCAGCGTAATGACTCAGCACGCCAGGGCTTGCCAAAACGAGCGCCCCTTCTACCCTCTCACCTTTACAAAGCGATCCCATCAATCCCACATGGAGGGGAGGGGAAAGGCTTTTCAGTCTCCGAGGCGGAGGGCTCCCCAGGAGAGCAGCAGGTGGGATGTGGCAGCGGGTGGGCTGCGCCCCCCCTCCCCCGCCGTGCCGGTGCTCACCTTCCTGGCTCCCCGCTTGGCGAACTCCCTGGCCAGGTGGCGACCGATGCCTCTGCCCCCGCCGGTGATGAGCACGTTGTCCCCGGCCAGGTCGCGGAGCTTGGGCGGCAGCACCATGCACACGGCAGCTTTCACCACCAGATAAACCATCTGCACCGGGAAAAGCAGCAAAGCGCCCAGCCACTTCCAAATCATCCTCTTGCTCCAGGCGAGACAGGAAGGCAAAATTCTCTTCCGAGCCGTCGCCAAACCAAGTTAACAGAGAAAGAAAACCAATACCCTTCCTGCACCCCTAGATGGGTGACACAAGTCTTCAGCCCCCTTCCAACACTTGGGGCCAAGAGATTCTTGCACTGGAAAAATTCTTCTCTCCCCCTAAAAAAATTGGGGTAGGAGTAAAGTAGTGCAGAAGACCAAGTCACTCCCCTGTTTCTTGATCGGTGTCCTCTGGGATTGTCACATGCAGGTAAAACGGTTCCTTTGCTTTTTAACTGGAAGACAGTTTTTTTAAATTAAAAGAAAGAGAAAAAAGTAAAATGAAAAGTGACCATACATCCCTCCGCTTCAAAGACCGTCATAAAAATCCAGTATCCAAATTGAAGGTTTTTATACTTGGAAAAATAAAATAAAGCAGCCTATGTCTCCAAATTTCAGCCTGCAGTGCCTTCCAGGCAGCTCATTTCTATTCTTAGACTCAGGAAATTGCTTAAATAAGACAGAACTGCCAGGACCTTCTTTTTAAGAAAGGCTCTATTCAGGGTAAGGTTGTTGTTTTTGTTTTAATATCTATAAATATAGACGTTCCGTCCTGAGCCGGTTGCAAAGGTTGCGCTGATAACCGCCTCTCTCTGCCCCCTCTCCTGGTTTTTTTTCACTTGGAGTATCTGTGATCACAGAGCAGGAATTATGCCGTACACTATTTCAGCTCCGGTTCTTACTCATTTCTCCCTATTGCTCTCTCTGCCTATCACAGCCGCGGCGCTGGGGAGTTTTTATACCCCATTAAGCCTGATTGACAGTTAAAGTGTTGGGGAGATTTCACTACTGTTTCTGTGAGTGGCTGGCTCCGCTCTCCCCTCCCCCAGAGCTATCTCGGAGCCACTGCACATAACCTCACACATGCAGGCGGGCTGAGCTGCTGCCTGCAAGCCGGGGCTTGCTGCCTGCCACGTTGGGCTTGCGCCTGGAACCGAAGTAACCCGGCCAGGCAAGCCCTGCCTCCCCCTCACCGTGCCCACCCCCCAACGGAGGTGCTGCGGGTCCGGCTTGAGCCCAGGGAAATGCAGTTTCAGGACGGGTCAGGGCTAAGGCTGAGTTCAAGGGAGCCATCACTGCCTCTCGGAGCTCTGGCGGAGCCCCAGATAAGCTGGTGGGGACGGGAAAACTTCTTTCAGCCCTAGGTTGCGGGGATGAATCCAGCCTAGGTTGATAATCATCAATCTGTTACCATTGGACCAATGTTTTTATGGACAACGTGACAACTCCATGGATTTTCCAAGCTGGATGATGCTTGTGTTGCTGAAAACTGGTGATTTAGTAGGGGGGCAATAAAAAAGGCAGGCTCTGAATGAAGGAGGGACACAGACTTTCTCACAACAAAGGGTGGGCTTTTTCCTCTCCACGGCTTTTTTTGTCCTGCTACCAAGGCATAGTTGCACCATGTTGTAACAGGGGAAAGGGCAAAGTGTATTGCCGCCAGGTTTCCCAGCTTGGTTGTCTGCACTGTTAAGCATTGGGCAGGTAAGCTGTGTTTTCAGTTGTACAGATTAAACATTTCTGAGTAACTGCATGTTGAAACTGAGCTGTTATGCATAGTTCGTAGTTCTGGCAGCAGTCAGAAATAACCTCAGACGCAAAGCATCGAGGATGTCAAAAGATGCTCTAGGATGTCAAACCTCACATTGCTGTCATCTCAGCTGAGCTGGAAAGAACTTCGTTTTTATGACTGTATACATCATCAACAATGTGCCAAAATGTACCATTCCCACATGTTAGTTCAGGAGGTCTGGCCCTATATCCACTATCCTGGGAAGCCATCTAGTGGTAAAACCTAGAATTACTGAAAAAGGACAAACCTGAAACACATTCTCAAACTTCTTTAGATCTATAGTTACTAAAGCACGCCTGCAACAGAATTGTATGAGTCTAAGCATCTATACCTAGATAGCCAAGTTATATTACACAACCAGCAGAAGTGAGTTAGGAAGCTGAATTCCTTTGAAAAGAAATTCAATTTTATGCTTTGGAATCAAACAGGTATTTTTTAAAACAAGCGTTGTTCAAAGTGGCCGGATGGTAACAGAGTGCTCAAGGGTTATTTGTTTGCAAAAAGAAGAGTGACCGAGTTTCCGGTGCCACACACATTTAAAACCTGTATCACACACAGGTTTTTTTTAACACAAAATATGAATGATATGCAAATCCTTGAATTTCAGCTCTGTTAAAAGTTCCATAAAATTTTTTTTTAAAGAAAAGAAAATAAAATCTAGAGAGAAATTTTCAGAGTTCTTACCTTTAAATGCCTGGTTATCTCATATGAAATAAGCCAAATGACTATCACTGCATCATCAGAAAGTGTGAGGAGAGAGGTTTTTGGAGAGAAGAAGATGAAGCATTCTAACTGGAAACTCTAAGTCTGTACATATTGTCAGAATCTGGTGGTATTCCCTAACTTAACTGCATCTGAAATAACCAGAGCTCAGAGAATTTCCATTGCCGCTTGGCAGCATTTAGCACCTCTGTGTGTTTTCACAGTAATACCTTTAGAAATGGAGCTAGGGGAGGCACCTGGCATTACAGTTTTCCTCTCAGTCCAAAAACTCTGAAGGAGAAATTACACAGAGAGCCTAGTGTCTGGTTTAAACCAGAATGACTCAATGTCTGGACTGCTAACAAATACAACAACTTTCTGGGATGGAAATAAGAAGCAGTGCTAAAAATGAAAGAATATGAAGTTCATTACAGTAAACTTGTTTTCTGATTCCTGAGTTCAGTCTCTTTATGCATAAATCATCACAGACACATTTAAAACAGAAAATACAGCAATGTTACACAGTTAACCTTTTCAGAATAAAACCAACATTAATAATTATTTTAAAACATTTGCAGGTCCTTTGAAGCCAGTGGGAATAGAATAATATTGTGAATATTTATTTCATTTATCTGTTCATTCCTTTTTTCATTCATTATGATTTTGTTTTATTGGTCTGTGTGCAAAGTTGCTATCAAATTTGGAGTAGGAGTAAAAAGACAGTTCTAGATACTTACAAGTTTTGTAACCTGCTCTTCCAATTTCATGAAAGTAGGAACTGTTTTACTTCTTTACCACTGTACTTTAGATTTATCTTGAAAACCAGTAGTTACTACATTGTACGAGAAGCGAAAGCAGACTTAAGAGTAAAACTGAAGTTACTGCATCTTGCCTGTAATAAATATGGTAAAAAATACATGGAAGTTATTTTAAGATTCACCTAATTCAACCAAAAAGTCAAACAGCTTTAAGTTCTACACATATGGAACACTGAGAACAGCTAAGGTTTGTCCCTTTTAGTTGCATTTCCACTCTGAAAACTGGCAAAAAAGTAGTATTCTGGGATTTCATCTGATTTTGATTGCTGTACAGCAACCATTGCGCTCTTTTCTGGCAAGAGGTCTTTTTCCAAACTGTCACCTTTACAAAACCAACAACTGCTTTTGTTCAAAAAGTTCACCTCTGTTAGTGAAACCTCCTAAACTACACCTTCACGTAGGTTTGATTATCCAAAGTGCTTTCAAAATGTCTACAGATGCAAACAGACTTTTAGTGCGTACCTTTGTTGATGGTGACAGGGATCTGTCACACACCAGCAGTTGTTCCTGATCATAAATTAAAAGTTGTCACAAAGTGGATCCCTTCCGTGTTTCCACCCAGAAGTCCTTAACCAGTGCACTGGAGCAGTCAATAAGCAGGCCTGTTAATTTTGTAAAATTGCATCAGTTGCTAATGCTACCGCTTAGTTGCAGAATTAATTGTTTCTTATACAGATACTCACAACAAAGTATAAATTGCAAAAAAAGCCCCACAAACTTGGTTTAAGCCATTTTAATGGCACTTTAAATTGTATTTTATTCCAGTTTGCAACAAGAACAAGAAGGTTGTCATGTAATACATCTCAGTGGTAACTCATTCAGTTTTGGCTTTCACTTGTCTGTTTAAATTTCTGGGTTTGTACTTCTTAACAGAAGTGTAAAGGATGATGGCTTTAATACAGTTTTACAAATCTATTCTGAATTAATAGGTTTAAATTAAATTTAAATCCCTGAATGACCCATTCCTGGGACTACAGGTAAAAAGATGGTTTTGCTTTCTGAATATTTAACCACAATAGTTCCTAACTGTAACAGTTCAGCTTAAAACTAAACCTGTTGTTCATATTTAGGCTAGCTAATTGTCACGGAATTGCACCAAAATGGCTACACGCACACAGATAATTCAAACAAGCTTTAATCTGCAATTGAAATGAAGCAGACAAAACTTCATTCACCAAGACAACATCCCACTGACATTCAACAAATACAGGTTCGATATGCTGGTTGGGAATATTACCAGACACGGCTAAATTAAGAATTCTTAAGTTTTGGCCAAACGATCCAAAATGTGCACTCACTCACTCACCAAAAAGGGAGGGCTCTCAATCTCGAGAAGTTTCCTTAAGTGGCGTCCCAACTCAAGGGGAGAGTCCCTGACTGCAGACCCGCTGCTCCGAGGAGGACCGACTCCAATGAGTCCTCCGGCGGGGCCCCATTTGTACCCTGGTCGAATCTGATCTGTGGTCAATCCATGGTCGTGTCAGCCCCTACTGGCTGAGGACCCCAACTTTCCCGCCTTTGACCCCCACTGTGTGGGCCAGACATGAGCTGTGAGGGGGGAGGCAGTCCTGGCGCCACCAGGGCCAGAAACCTTAGCACTGTCTTTGTTGGGTCTTTCTCAGGTCTTTAGTAGGGTGGGTGCATCTGCCACACTAATGTAAAGGCAGGTAGGCCTATAGTAACTGAAACGCTAGTGCAGATTTACTCATACTCTCAATGAGGGTCATAGAAACCTACTTACTTAGCAAATGAAATTGCTGAACTGCAAGAACATTTGAAATGAAAAAGAGTGGTAATTAAGAGCATGCTCAAGGCACGTGTGAAAGCCATTTGGGCTAACAATTCTGTGTTT